TGCACGGAGAGAACATGCAAACTCCACCCAGAAAGGCCCCTGGACCGGGGTTTGAACCAAGGACCTACTCGCTGAGAGGCAGCAGCTCTACCAGCTGCGCCACCGTGCTGCCCTTCCCTTTTTCAATCAACTTTCATTTGCATATTTTTTTGAATCCTAAATGAGTTTTATTTAAATCGGTTTGATGAGTAAAGAGTTTTGTGTCATGATCAGACAGCGGAGAAAATTTGAATTTATTCACAGGGTTGTAAAGATCAGAATAAAACAAGAGAAAATTTAAACCCATATTGAGCATTGAACTGTATGATGCTGATCATGAGGATACCTGAGAAGAAGTATTGAAACAGCAGAAATTTAGGCCTAAAAGCATTTGAAGCCAACATGCCTCTGCACAGAAGCTGCAAAACAAACAGGAGTCTGAGCATCATCTTCTGATGGTCATGAAGAATTAGAAATTTAAATGGTTGTAATAGAATAAAGTAATCTGGGTAATTAAAAATGGTGGAATATGAAATACTAATATGACTATTAATGTTAATATTTAAAGCACATAATTTTCCCAACTTAGTACAATACAAATTTGTAAAAAATAATCATATCTAATTCAAAACACAATACCAGTTAATGTTTACTGTGAGATCAAATTAGTGCTTTTCTAAAGTTTTTTTTCCCCTTAGGATAAAAGTGCTTAGGAAAGAAATTTCTTGGCTCCACGTCTCATATGTTGCTTGCTGGTTTGTTATAATTTGTTGAAATTGCCTAGTCTTTTTAGTCCAACACAGTCAGATCCAGTTAGTGAAAGATCAGTTTGTAATTGTAGTAGCATGAACAATGTATTACTTCTTAAAATAAAGGGAGAAGTGACATATTTAATTTCTAGTTTAAAACATACTGTATGTTCTGTGATGGACAGGACACCAACTAGTCCACAAAAAGAGTTGGACACAAAGTTGCAATTAAATAACAGATTCTGACATCTAAACATTCTTTGATGTAATATTTTTAGTTTTAGTTTTCATAATCAGAGCAGACTGACAGTAGCCCAAAACTTTTTAGGAAATGTGTTTCTGCCATTTGTGGCAGCCAGCAGACTTGTGGAAAAGTGGGACACTAAGAAATAATGAGGTATAAAAATAATCATATAGAACATCTTCTTTTAAAACACAACCCTTTTTACTGAAAAAAAAGCAAAACTTTGCACAGGGCTTCACTCAAATATTAGAAATAAAAATGTTGCATTATTCTTTTCTGATATCTTGTATTGTTTTTCGTCTTTCTTCTTGTGCTTTCTGAAATGTTTGAGAGTTGGGCTCTGTGTGTGACTATTTGAAGGCATCTCAATAATCTGACACAAAGTCCATGCTCAATAATCCAGGTATACAATCCAACATTTTTCAGTCAGGTCATCTGGACAGTTTCTTTTTTGTGTTGAAACGTTTCGCCTTCGATCCGGAAGGCTTCATCAGTCAAGGAAACACACAACACTAAACTGATTCTTCTCTCAACAGTTTACGGTTGTAATACTGATGTAATACTCACATTGACCACTGGAGGTCAGGCTAATTTATTTTACAGTCACAAGAGTGGCGCTAAAGGGCCTAAAAGTCTGATGGTGAAACACAAACCGTAGAAGAAGAAAAAGAGGCCCCTCCCTCCGTCTGTACCAAAATAGAGACAGTTGGATTGAGAATCTGACTTCAGCTCGTCAGAAATGGCTTCCACCGGAGTTCTTCCCTTCATCAGAGGGGTAGACCTCAGTGGGAACGACTTCAAAGTAAGGATTTTAGACATTTTGAGTCAGTTTTAGATGAGATGATCTTGGACTACAACTATTCCGAGCTTAGCTGAAGCTGCTCCAGAAATGCCGCCCGGCAACAAATGGCTGAAACAACATGATAGCTGCGAGCAATGGGCGTTAGCCAGTTGCTAAATTGACGAAGTGGCAGTTTGTCCTCGTCCAACACCGGCGGGGTTTTGTTTTAAAGAAAAGTGTTTATGAGCTTGTTTAGCTGTTAGCTCATTTGACTTCGTTATGGACGATTAGCTACTTCTTAAAGTAACAACCCAGCTACATTAGGCTAACTTTGCCTGTCGGGGTCAGAAGTACAAGTTATGTTACTTTATCAGACGTTGTAATACTACTAAAGCTGAGGCTTTAAATAAACGCTAGATATGAAAATAAACCTTGTTGAAATGCTGTTGGGGCTCTAACAACCTTTGTAGGTCAACAGCAAACCTGACCAAAGTGACAGCCGGTGTAACACATTATTCTGTGACCCGTCTGATTCAGTCCAAAACTGCGAGGAATTCAGTCTTACTGCCTGAAAATTTTTAGACATAAAGTCATGTTTAGGTTTATTTTCTTCGAGCTAAGCATAGGGGTTCTGTTTTAGTTTGGAGTTATTAAAAAAATAGGTACAAATTGAGACCTGGAAACAACTTTCTGACTGTATTTAGCTACAGTAAATATTTTGTTGGAACACAACATCATATGAACCACTGAACTTATCTAATTACAATGATGTCTTCATGTTTAAAAACGTTTTTTTTTTGTTTTGTTTTTTTAAGTAAATGGTATATTTAAACATTAGCTGCAGGTGAAAATCTTAATTGCATCAAAGAATCAGAAGAGGTACATCATATGTGTCAAATTCAAGGCCCCGGGGCCAAATGTGGCCCTCGTTAACATCTTATCTGGCTCCCAAGATGTTATTTTAAAATGTAAACTACTTTTTTCACTTTAATTTTTTTCAGTAATCTTTGATTACGATGTCAAAAGTGCAACAGAGAATGTCAAATGAGACCAATCAAACTCTTATTGAGCAAGAAAAGATGTTGGATATCTAACTTGAGTTAATGTAGATTCTGAAGGGTTTAATTTTGGCTCCCTTTTGTAAATGGGTTATAATGTTGCCGTACATCTACAGGTATATCTACAAGCAATTAAACTGGTGTGAATACCAAAGTGTCCAGTGAGTGTATTATAGGGGCTGAGTGTTGTGTATCAAAAATGTATCTCAAAAATACAATCTAAGTAACTGCGATTCACACGTCTTTGCCTTTGTAAGTCTTTTTCAAAATCCTGAACGTCAACAATATCTGAGAGAAACGACATAGCTGAGCTGAACTGCTCTGGGTTCACTCATGCAGCCGATAAACTACACAGATTTGAACTATGTGATGTCAGTAAAATCAACAAATATGATATCGGTGTTTTATCTTGTGTATTTGCTGCCGTCATTCTTCAGGGATTTAAAATGTATTGGTACTTTAAAAAAACACTGACCATTTCAGGAAATACTATAAGCTCAAAGCCTGCAGGGTAAAATTATTTTCTTCTCTTTTCAATACTGATACAATTTATTAAAAGTCAGCGTCTCGTTTATTTATTTTTTTCTCCCGTGTCTAACTCCAGGGAGGATTCTTCCCTGAACATGTCAAGTGCATGAGCAGCCTCCGATGGCTGAAACTGAACAGGACAGGACTTTGTTACCTGCCAGAGGAGCTGGCCTCTCTGCAGAAGCTGGTGAGACATTCTGACATGGTGAAACTGTGTGTTTTGTTACTGTATTGGTTGTAAAAGAGTGTAGTGGTTACTCAGTGTCAGCTTGAGTAGCTTCAGCTTCTCACAGTCCTCTGCAGGATGAATCAGGAACAGCTGATGACTTCAGAGTTGATCTGTTTTATTTTATTTCAACGTGATTAAATATTTAATGCTCTTTACTGTAAAGCTTTGAGACCAACTTCCTTCCCTTTAAGGTGGAAAAATAGTAAAAATATCCCAGAACTAAAGAGACTCGGAACAATCTTTTAAACAAACGCTGACTTAAGAAATATGAATTCAATATTATTTTTGTCCATAACTTTAATGGTTTATTGTTCATGCTCAATCTAATAGATTAAAAAATGATCAAAGATACTTGAGCAGATATCAACAGTAAGGTAGGGTGTGCAGTAGTCAATGGTAGGAATAGCACATAAATCAGAACCTTTTAATAATAATAATAATGTCATCACAATGTCAGCACTGTATGTTTCCATACAATGGCGAAATTAGTCTCTGCATTTAACCCATTTTAAGCAGCTTCCCACATTTTAAGAAAATTACGTCCTCGCCAGTTTTCTGATATTTAAGACCTGATAAGACATTTTTTCTTAAAGTTGGCATAATGTTTCAGTCTACTTCTTTTCTGGTCTGCCAGTGTTGTGCTGACCAGGAAACCTTCTTGTTGCAGTAATTGCTGTTGTCCCCCTTTGCAGAGCAAAGAGGGGGAATTGAAAATACGCTCTGTCCATTCGTGCATGTTGTGTGAGCATGTTAACTTGAAAAATAAGTGACGTACCCACTTTCACATTGGTGTGTGGCTACGTCTAAGCAGCTTCCATTAGAAAATTGGGTTGCCATACCAAAACCCAGATGGCTTCCACCATACACGGCCTTCCATCTTGTGAACTTGATAACTTGAAAAATAAGTACTGGTATCCTGCTAACGTCCATTTTGGTGTGTCACTGCATCTATGCATGAGAAAGATCACTGTTGGAAAATTAGGTTTTGTCAAAATCCAATATGGCCACTGCCATATAACTAAACTGACCACCACTATCATTTGAGTAAAGTTTGCTTTCTAGTTTTTATATTATTTCAAAGTATAGTTTCCTCAAATGATTGGGGTAGCCAAAGATTAATCTGGCCAAGACCAGTATTGGCCACATCTTGACTCCTCCAAGATAAAATTGCTCTCTTCACTTGCAAGGACCTGTGACTGTTGTAATCAAATCAAATAGATCAGATTTTAAAACAGTTATCATTGGCTAAAGTAATGCACACAAAAAGACAACAAACAAAAGTAAAACCTATTAAAGATACAATTAAACATAAAATAACGAACATTAAAAATATGCAAATTAGGCATCACTTTACTTTTCACTGTTACGACTTACAAATGTTTTTTTACCCGTGAAGTCAAGACGTAGTGACTTTAAACTTCTTGACTGCATCGCTGACATAAAACAGTGGCTCAAACAAAACATCCTGATTTTATAAAGGGACCTAAAATTAGATAAACAAATAGCCTCTTTGGTTTTTATTAACATGACCATGTATTTAAAGTATTGTTAGTACATAAACATCAAGTTGAAGTATTTCTTTTGAACACAACTTTCATACAATTATCAAATGGAAGCCCTCTGAGCAGAGGTGAGCAGTTCACAACGAGAAGATAAATAGTGCAGAGAATATTTCTACAAACATGTGGGTAAACAAGATAAAATGTCGTGTTTTGTGAGTTCTGTGTGTTTAACTGCAGGTCTGCCATACCTTTGTTTAGTTACAGCTGAACTTTAGCACGCCGGTATCATCTTCAACTTAAAAATAAAATAAAATGATGGATTTACCCACTTTTTTTTTGTACTGTTTATCAAAATATCTATTTTTCCAACATCAGGAACACCTTTCAGTGAGCCACAACAGTCTGTCCACTTTACATGGAGAACTCTCTGGATTACCAAACCTCCGGGTAACTCTCACCTGTGTCTGTCTGTACAGATGTGAAGACTTGTGATGGATTCTAACAGTGTTTTATTTTGTGTGCAGGCGGTCGTAGCCAGAGCCAACAATCTGAAAAACTCTGGAGTCCCAGATGACATCTTTCAGCTCGAGGACCTGTCTGTGCTGGTATTTAATCATTACAAACTCTCAAACTAGTCTTCAGTTAGTTTAAAGGCACAGCTTCAAGACGAATCTCCTTTTTTTTTTTCTTTTAGGATCTAAGCTACAATCAGCTGACGGAGATCCCCCGAGACCTGGAGAACAGCAAGAACATGCTGGTGCTGAATCTGAGCCACAACAGCATCGACTCCATCCCCAACCAGCTGTTCATCAACCTCACAGACCTGCTGTATCTGGACCTGAGCGACAACAAGCTGGACAGCCTGCCGCCGCAGATGAGACGCCTGGTGCACCTGCAGACTCTCATTTTGAACAACAACCCGCTCATGCACGCCCAGCTGCGGTAAACAAAACAAACTTTATCCTGCAGATGTTTTTTTTTTTTTTTCACTCTTTGCTTCTTCATGTAAACACTGATGTGTGTGTGTGTATGTGTGTGTGTGAGCAGGCAGCTCCCAGCCATGGTAGCGTTACAGACCCTTCACCTGAGGAACACCCAGAGGACGCAGAGCAACATGCCCACCAGCCTGGAGGGCCTGACACAGTTAGCAGGTAACACACACACACATTTCTTCTTACTTTTATAGACGTGCTTCTAGTTTTTCATCCTCCTCCTGTTTGTCCAGATGTCGATCTGTCTTGTAACGACCTGACTCGAGTACCGGAGTGCCTGTATTCGTTGGGCAGCTTGAAGAGGCTCAATCTGAGCAGTAATCAGATTTCTGAACTCTCCCTGTGCATCGATCAGTGGACCCATCTGGAGACGCTGAACCTGAGTCGCAACCAACTCACCTCTCTGCCCGTAAGAACCACAGCTGCACACTTTTTAAATTATTTCTAATTCTAAGCTGCATCAATAAAACCAGAAAACAAAATGCTCTTAATCTGAAAATCTGAGCAAATGATTTTTGTTCTCCAGTCTGCCATCTGTAAGCTGTCCAAACTGAAGAAGCTCTATGTAAATTCTAACAAACTGGACTTTGATGGACTTCCTCCTGGCGTGGGCAAGCTGTCCAGCCTCACAGAGTTCATGGCTGCGAACAACCACCTGGAACTCATCCCTGAGGGTCTCTGCAGGTGAGCGCTACAGCAAAAACAATAGAAAACCAACAGCAAGAGTTGAAATGGTTAAACAGGGTCTCATGTGGTTTTGGTTTCTGTTGGTGGTTGTTCAGGTGTGGCAAACTGAAGAAGTTGGTGCTGAATAAAAACCGCCTGGTGACGCTGCCTGAAGCCATCCACTTCTTGACAGACCTGGAGGTTTGATTCTGAAAGAACAAAACTATAAATACTAACATTCAGAGTTCCTTTACTATCAGAACTTCTGTAGATTAAATGTTGAACTAATGAAGATTTGATTACGTTATTATAAAAGAAAGTCAAGCAGGAGACACATGAGTCTTTTTCCATGATTGAAGGAAGTAAAAATGAATCAAATAAATTTAATATGGTCAAATTAATGTAACTTTGTTTAGACACCAGTTGGATTACTTAAATAGCTTCATTAAATCAGGTAAATCAGTGGAATTCCATCAGTGAGACGGTGGCAAAGCGCCACATGCGTTCTACACTGCTTCTCTTTTGTGTGGGGTCCCGCAGGGCTCAGTTTTAGGCCCCCTGCTCTTCATGCTGTACCTGTCCCCTCTTGGTTCTATTTTTAGAAGATATGGGCTCTCCTTTCATTGCTACGTGGATGAGCTCTAACTATATGTCCCGCTAAAGAAAAATGACTCCAACTTTCTGAGCCCTGTGTTTTCATGTCTGGAGGACATAAAAGCCTGGGTGGCTGTGAACATTTTAAAGTTTAACAAGAAAACGACTGAGGTGATGGTCTTTGGAAGCTCCACTGAGACCCCCTATGTAGTTATATGTTCCTTGGCCCAGTACATCAGGTCAACTGTTACAAACCTGAGGGTCAAAGTTGATGCTGGACTGAAGTTAGAAAATCTCAGAGCAATTATTAAATTTAGTTTTTTTCCCCTTTGAGGCAGCTGGCTAAAGTAAAGCCGATTCTTTCTCAGCGACATTTCAGAACTACCGTAATCCACGCCTTTGTTACCACATGGCTGGATTATTGTAACGCACTTTATAAAGGAATCCATGATTCGTGTGTTTCTCAGCTTCAGAGGGTGCTGCTCGTCATGGCGCATGAAAGTTTGACCACATTTCCCCTGTTTAAGCCTCCCTGCACTGGCTGCCTGTACATTTTAGGTTTCATTTTAAAATTATTTTGTTTTTTGCTTTTAAAGCTCTTAATGGCCTTGCCACGCCCGATCGGTCTGTAGCGCTGGTATGGTATGAAGAAGTGATTAAAAAAAAAGATGCAGTGATTTTAGCTTTTTTCTGCAAAGCCGGACAGGAAAAACAGAGAGGCCCATCATCAGTCACCAGATTAACAGTTTTCTCCCCTCCTTGTGTCCCTTTATTAAAAAATAATAATAATTAGCTTAGTAAATGTGGTGTGATTGTGTGATTCTAATGGTGGTGTAGTAACCACTTATTTGTTTACTATTTTACTTTACTTGAGGGATTATTGCCACAAATTTTGTTTTTTAAAGAGACAAAACTCCTACAGTTTTGAAAAAGGATTGAATTTGATTTTAATATTGCCTTAGTCTGGATAAGTATGGAGAAAAACAGAGTATGAACAATCATTTGTGTTTCAATAAGCTTTTTTAAATGCTTATTATAAAATATATACTGTAATCCAAATTTCTAGAGATTATGTTTTTACATTGGTTGTATATTAAAGATGAGCGTAGTCATCATTTATCACAGAGTTTAATGTTTCAGCCTTCAGTTGTGCTGTTTTGTTCTTTTTGTAGATAATAGACGTACGTGAGAACCCAAACCTGGTGATGCCTCCAAAACCAGTAGACCGAGGAGCAGAGTGGTACAACATCGACTTCTCCCTTCAGAACCAGCTCCGTCTGGCTGGAGCTTCACCTGCTACTGTAGCAGCTGCAGGGGGAGGTGTGTGTGTGTGTGTGTGTCTCTGTGTGTGTGTTTTCTGCTTCAAGTATAACTTGTGCATGTGTTGAGAAGTTGAATCTGTGTCTGGGTGTGTCTGTTGTCATCCAGGGTCCAGCCCCAGAGATCACATGGCGAGGAAAATGAGGCTGCGGAGGCGGAAGGACTGTTCTCAGGATGATCAGGCGAAGCAGGTCCTGAAAGGAATGAGCGATGTCGCTCAGGAGAAGAAGAACATGGAGGTGAGTCACACAGAAGAAGTGAAGGGAATAGAACTTGTTTTAATTTTTATTTTTTTATTGTAATCTTTTTTTTTAATCATTTATTTATTTTTTTAAAATCCCATCATTTTGCTTATATTTTTTTTAGAAGAAGGTAAATAATTTTAAAAATCTGCAAATTTTACAGGAAAACGGTGACTTGAAATATGGTGATTTAAAAGTCCGTCGCTGGGACAAGAGTCTGGAGAAACCTCAGCTGGACTACTCTGAGTTCTTCTTGGAGGACGTGGGACAAGTAAGGATCCTACAGACTTTTCTCTTTCTCCCTCTTGTTACTTATTTTCAGTTTTGGGTGACCTAACTAGTACAAAAATGTAAAATATGTTGTGTTTGTGTCCTGCAGATTCCAGGTGTGTCTGTGTGGCAGATAGAGAACTTTATTCCCGTACAGGTGGACGAAGCTTTCCACGGCAAGTTCTATGAAGCAGACTGCTACATCATCCTCAAGGTACGGCTTCAACCCTGCCAACACTGGAAAACAACCAGTTAAAGACCAGCACCCACTGCCTTTAATAAAAGAGTTTATAGTTACCGTAAAAGCCTCTTTGAGCCATTTTGGTCAGAACTTGTGGTTCATGAGATATTTTGCCAACGCTACAGAAGAACACACACATGCAGCCAGAAACATGTTCAGCTTCACTCTTGGTGATAGAAACAAGTGCTACTCTGATAGGATTGCAGTATTTCTATAGTCCTTGTTTTCATCTGTGTTTCAGACCTTCCTGGACGACAACAGAGCATTAAACTGGCAGATCTACTACTGGATTGGTCAGGATGCCACGCTGGACAAGAAGGCGGGCTCTGCCATTCATGCCGTCAACCTGAGGAACTTCTTAGGAGCAGAGTGCAGGACGATTCGAGAGGAGATGGGAGACGAGAGCGAGGAGTTCATCGCCGTATGTAGAAACATTTCTGATGCTTCAGCTGTGATCATGTGCAAACGAGTGCCTTGCTCCTTTATTGGACTTTTCCTGTGTTCTGTGCAGGTGTTTAACCATGACATCTCCTACATCGAGGGAGGAACATCCAGTGGGTTTTACACTGTGGAAGACACAAATTATCCTGCCAGGTAGACAGAAGATTTTTCTTTTGAGCTGCTTCTTGTAACTTCAGGCTAATCTTGACATTTAAATAGCACCAACCTGGTTTATGAGCCACTTTAAACCTTTAATATTCAGACACTCATCGGGGGGAAGTTCTGTTTGTTTGGTCTTTGTTTAATCCTCTTCTGGTTTTCAGATTATACAGAGTTTATGGCAAGAAAAACATCAAGCTGGAGTCTGTACCAGTGAAGGCCTTCTCCCTTGATCCTCGGTGACTCCAACACACACTTTTTATTTCTTACACCGCTTCATAAACACGTCATAACTCCCTCCAGCATAACCAGTCTGATCTGTAATTTTCTGTTTTCTCTTGTTTGATTCAGTTCTTTCTCCCTAAAATGCCAACACTCTCACCAGACATGCTGCTTTATTCTTCCTATTTGGCATTCAAGTTGTCTTCCGGGTTTTAGACATCTATATGTCTAAATATCCTGTCTTTCTTTGGCAGCTATGTGTTCTTGTTGGATACGGGGCTGGAAATTTTTATCTGGAGAGGAGCCAATGCTACTCTGGGCGGCACGACGAAAGCGAGGTAACGTAGTTTAAAGTCAAAATGACATATTTAGGGATAAAACGTGCTCTTAACAGTGGTTGAATTGTTGTTATCCTCCAGGTTATTTGCTGAAAAGATCAATAAAAATGAGCGCAAGGGGAAAGCAGAGATTGTGACCCTCATGCAGAACCAGGAGCCCCCGGGATTCTGGGAGGTTCTGGGAGGACAACCGGAAGAGATCAAGAAGCACGTACCAGACGACTTCACCCCCATCAGACCTAAACTGTACAAAGTAAATATTTGGATTACTTCTAAACACTAGCTCTCCCACCATCAGTGTCTGCAAACACAATCATCTGTAAACAGCTGAGTTGGAACAACAACAGTAAGATGGCTGAAGGTGTAACCATTCAACCTTTATTTATACAGGCTAGCCTCATTGAGTCACGGGGACTCGTTTACAAGAGAGACTGTTCCAGACAGAATATAAAGTACAGACAACCAAACAGTAAACAATGACAACAACAAAAACTACAGTAAAAATGCAGTTAGAATAAGAGTAGTGTACAGAACATTAAATCAGGGTGCTGTAAAACAGGCTGAAATACTAAAAACAAAAACATATTTGCTTTGATTTTTCTATTGACATTATCAAATATTTGAAACCTATTAAAGAAATTAAGTGGGACAACTTCGCTTCCTGTTGCAAGGTGTTCCAGTTTGCAGGAGACGACCTGTGCTGCAGGAAGTGTCACTTTTCAGTTGTGCACCTAAATGAGCAACAGTGAACAACATTCACTGAACAACAGCACATGCAAGGTTTAACTTTTATTTTATTTAAGCTACGCATGAAATTCACTGATCGCTTTGTTGTTATGAAACTCTTTTTGCTGCATTTTTGTTTAAGATTTGCAAAATTTCTAATGTTTTTAATATTTTTCTACTGAACTGGTGCTCTTTCATCACTCTGTTTATATAATAAGTCACTTTTAGGTGAACAGTATGGTCGTATCATAAAACACAGAAGTTTAGAGTAGAATACAATCAAGAAAAATAAAACGGGACTTGGAAAACATGAAATTTGCTTTTGTAGGGCTCTAAAATTAGCAAAGCAAAAAAAAAAAAAAAGAGACCAAACAGCTGGTGGTGAAATTGCTGGACTTTTTAACTGTGACCGATTTAGTTTTTGAATGGCTGATGGAAGTTTGATTTTCAGAAGCTAGGACAGCTGAAAGATCAGTCTAATCAATCAATCAACCAATAGATCAGTTGGTCTAATCATCGCTGGCTGTACTAAATATGTTCTGTCTCCTGTAGGTGGGTCTGGGCCTGGGCTACCTGGAACTGCCTCAGATTAACTACAAGCTGTCCGTGGAGCATAAAGACCACAAGATCAAACTGGACACGCTGCCCGAGCTCAGGCTGGTACGTTTTATGTGAACTTTGTAAAAACTACCAGAGTCTAAAAAAAGTTAAATCTGGTCCTCTGGACATTCACAAAACAAAACAAACAAAAAAGTAGAAACGTTTCGTCTCTCATCCAAGAGACTTCCTCAGTCTGAGGAGCTGTTTTCAGCTCAGTCTCTTAAATAGCACCTTCTCAGAGTGGATCAACCATTTTGCTGCTGACAACCAAAACCAGCTGATCACATGCTCAAGAAGGACCATCAGCCTAACAATGGGTCATTAGCACACTGATGGCTGTTTACTGTTCACAGAGGGCTGAGTGATACTAGCAATCACAGCATTGTAAGAGGGGGACAGTTGAACCCGGAGGCCTCCACCCCTGTTTAATGATGGACGGTTTCTTTTCACAAAGATGGCCTCCTTTACTCCTCTCTCAAACCATTGTTCCTCTCTGTCCAGGATGTGAACATCTTCATCCTTGAAAGAGTGACCGCTGGCCTGGAGATGAGTGTAGACCACAGAGTCCTGGCCTGATGATGTTGATCTTCTGTGCTGGGCCATCCTTTAAACCAAAAATGTGACTGTGTCAACGCAAATCTTTTCCTCTAATTAACATACGAAAAAAACCTACGTTTCCCCCCATCGTGTCCGTGTAAATGGGGCCTTACAATGCTGTGATTGCTAGTATCACTCAGCCCTCTGTGAACAGTAAACAGCCATCAGTGTGCTAATGATCCATTGTTAGGCTGATGGTCCTTCTTGAGCATGTGATCAGCTGGTTTTGGTTGTCGGCAGCAAACTGGTTGATCCACTCTGAGAAGGTGCTATTTAAGAGACTGAGCTGAATACAGCTCCTCAGACTGAGGAAGTCTCTCGGATGAGAGAAGAAACGTTTCTACATATTTTTTTTTTGTTTGTTTTGCTTTGTTTAGTTTTTTGAATGTCCAGAGGACCAGATTTAACTTTTTTTAGATTTTTATACCTGGATTATTGAGCATGCGTCAGGAACTACCAGTCCTTTTAGCTCCCTTCAATATTTTCATCCCTCCCCCTCAGGTCCAGTCCCTGCTGGATACAAAGTGCGTCTACATCCTGGACTGCTGGTCGGATGTCTTCATCTGGATCGGGAGGAAGTCGCCCCGTCTCGTCCGAGCTGCAGCCTTAAAACTGGGTCAGGAGATCTGCTCAATGCTGCACCGGCCCAAACACGCCTGTGTCACCCGCAACCTGGAGGGCACCGAGTGCCAGGTGACCTTTCTACAGAAGACACCTTCTAGATCTGCCTCGTTTGGCCACACCACTTCATGACAGTTTATATGTCGTCTCCATCCTCTTCCTCAGGTGTTTAAATCCAAGTTCAAGAACTGGGACGACGTGCTGAAGGTGGACTACACCCGAGCTGCTGAGACGGTGCAGCAGAACGACAACCTGCAGGGCAAGGTAACGGATTCTCCTCTGCTGTTTCTGTAGAAACCAGGGGGGTGTTTGATGTCTGTCATCCTGTCTGCTCCCAGGTGAAGAAAGATGCAGAGCAGAAAGACCAGATGAAAGCTGACCTCACAGCCCTCTTCCTCCCTCGGCAGCCCCCCATGCCCCTCTCTGAGGTAAGTTTCTGTCCCAAGTTATTGAGGACTGCCTGTTAATGCAGCCACCTATTATTATCCACCTGTAAAGGGTCTTGCCCTTCTTTCAACTTTAATGTGGCACGAACTGCAACGTGCGCCCCCACCACACACACAAATATTCTATCAAAACGACCAGCTGGGCACCGTCATGTGTGCTATTACTTTTATTGTCATTTTGGGTTACCACGACGATGTCATTTGTAAACGAAGACACCATTTTTCTCATTAAAAAACACTGACGTAACTCTTAAGAGCTTCTATCTGCCACAGTGAGGTCACGTGACCTAGACTCAAGAGATCTCTGAACAAAACACAGATTAACTTTTGGAGCCATTTTGGATCAAGATGGCTGCCACAGCTACCTCAGAAAACTCAAATTGACTATAACTCGGTCATTCTTTGAGATATTGAGCTGAATTTTGATATGGTCATAGCTGAGAGTGAGTTGTTATACATTCCTATTGCAAATAAAAAATCCAAGATGGCTGCCTTAGCTACAATAATGCAACTATTTTAAAAGATATTGAGCTGAAGTTTGGTGTGGTGGTACCTGACAGTGATGCACAACACATTCTGAATTCAAATCTAAAAATGCAAGATGGCTGCCAAAGCTATATTAAAATAGATATATAACTCAGAGGTTTTTAGAGCTATTCAGCTGGAATTAGGTGTAATGGTAGCTGAGAACAATCCCTAATAGACTCTGCAAATCACAAATCCATGATGGCTGCCTGAGTTAAAAAGAAAAAATACTATAAATCAACCATTTTAAGCTGTGGTGGTAGCTGAGAACAATGCCCAACAACACATCGTACTGTCAGAACAACATGGCAGTCCCCGTCAAAGTTTCTCAAGGAACTTTCTAGTTGTTTTATAAATCATATCAAAGCAGACTACTGCAGCCCTCTTGGTACATTTCTAGGCCGAGCAGCTGATGGAGGAGTGGAACGAGGACCTGGATGGGATGGAGGGGTTTGTGTTGGAGGGGAAGAAGTTCACCCGCCTGCCTGAGGAGGAGTTCGGACATTTCTTCACCCAGGACTGCTACGTCTTCCTCTGCAGGTGCACACCTGCTCAGCTGCTCCTGAACTGCTCCATCCCTGATTCCTCACGTCTGACTCTCCCCTCCGTGCTTTTAGGTACTGGGTGCCCGTGGAGTACGAGGACGAGGAGAAGGAGAAGAAGGAGGGTGGTGAGGGAGGCGGTGGAAGAGGAGGCGATGAGGAGGAGGAGGACAAACAGCCTGAGGAAGACTTCCAGTGTGTGGTGTATTTCTGGCAGGGCAGGCAAGCCTCCAACATGGGCTGGCTCACCTTCACCTTCTCCCTGCAGAAGAAGTTCGAGTCTCTTTTCCCGGGAAAACTGAAGGCAGGAAGAAACTTCTCTTCTTTTCCGTTAGCTAACGTAGCAGCTGATGGTTGTCGTTAGCGATTTAGTTCAGCTGTGCTGAAGTGGCGTCCTGTTTTGGTGTTCAGGTGGTGCGTATGACCCAGCAGCAGGAGAACCTCAAATTCTTGGCTCATTTCAAAAGGAAGTTCATCATCCACAAAGGGAAGCGGAAACAGAACACCGACTCCGTCCAGCCCTCCCTCTACCACGTCCGCACCAACGGCAGCGCCCTCTGCACCAGGTACTCTCACACCAGCTCTTTTGTTTTTATTAATGGTGTTTGAATCGTCATGTTTTACTCTGCGTCTGTTTGTAGGAGCATTCAGATCGTCACAGACTCCTGTAACCTCAACTCCGAGTTCTGCTTCATCCTTAAGGTTTGGATTCTTAAAAATAATCTAATCTGTAAAGGAGACCACCGATGGGTCGGATTGAATCATCCAACACGTTTCCTGCAGGTCCCCTTCGAGAGCACAGACAACCAGGGCATCGTGTACACCTGGGTGGGCAGAGCCGCCGACCCCGACGAGGCCAAACTGGCCGAGGACATCATGAACTCCATGTTTGATGATACGTACAGCAAACAGGTCAGACTGCTGTCAGCTCACAACTTCCTGATCACCTCACTTTGACGTCTCTGTCTTCTCACTTTGACTTCTTTTAGTAGTTTTTGTTTTTAGCTGTTCTTTTGAGCTTAGTTTTAATATCTTCTAGGTAATTAATGAGGGGGAGGAGCCAGAGAACTTCTTCTGGGTTGGAATTGGTTCTCAGAAAGCGTACGATGAAGATGCAGAATATATGAAACACGCTCGGCTCTTCAGGTGAGACGTCACGTTTCACACGTTTGACCTTTTTTAAATTATCTTTAACTAGGAGAAAACAACTTTTCATTTACATGCACATTTGTTGCAGCGTTCTGATTATGCTCTAATTTTTTTTTCTTCAGGTGCTCAAACGAGAAGGGTTATTTCTCCGTTTCCGAGAAGTGCTCGGACTTCTGTCAAGACGATTTGGCCGATGATGACATCATGTTGCTGGACAACGGCAAAGAGGTAACAGTGAGGGATCAAATGAACCAGGCTGAGATTTCTTTAAGGAATCTTTTCATGTCTCTGTCTGCTCAGTAACAGGCGGCAGGCGGGGATTTTGCCGCCTACACTGACTGACGAAAACAGATTTAAAACATGCTTCCTGTTTTTGCTATGCTGGACGTAGTATACACCTCATTTCATTTTCATAAGTCTTAGATTTTCCATAAATTATACAGATGTTTCATGACTATGAATGTACTGAGTCTTGTTGGTTTTTTTTTTTTTTTAAACTTTGCTTCAACTTTATTTTATGTCTCAGAGTTTGCCTGTAATCAAACTCTAGTGTCGCCCCCTCCTCCCCCCCCCCCCCGCTACTTAAACCTTACATGTGTCTCTTTGCCATTGGTAAGTGCGGCTCCACTCGGCTGACCTCGGTTCTTCTCAGGTGTAGGTGATTTGCCACCACAGTGGAGGCTGATTTGTTTCTCCTCTCTGTGGGCGGGATCGTAACTGGTCATTGTGTTCACCACTCTGCCCGTTGTGGTCCTTAATCACCCTCAACGTTGTTCTCAAAGTCGGACAGCCAGATACGTGGACATGTGAACTGATATCTCTCTGTAAATGCGCTCAACTCTTGTGGCACCATTCATCAACACGATGAGGACGTGGAGGTTCAGATGTAGTTTAGTTTCTCTGGGCGGGTCATCCAGTGATGTAGCTCCAGTGGCCAGTCAACAGCTGCTTATGTCTGAATCAGCCCCTCAGAGTAGTCCACTTGGAACCTCAAACAAGGTGGTCTCATAGACCGGGCTGAGTGGGGGTGAGTACCGGCAGTGGGCAGGCCCTTAACTGCTGCAGTGTGGAACTGGTGAGAGTTGAGAGAGTGGCAAAATGCCATTAACTGTACCTGCTCGGGTGCTCACACGCCCAGAATGCACCAGCTGTAAACAGTCGACGCTCTCTGGTGCCAGTGAAGGCCCAAAACGCTACAGACAGAGGTGCAGGGAACAAGTCCTGAAATGATTTGTTGCAGAACAAACAGTTTGCTCATCCATGAAAACTTTAACACCAGCTGATGTTCTGCAGCAGCCTGAGCCGTGGACCTCGTTGTTTACTGCGTACGTTCAATAGTTTAGTGTTTTATATCGTCTTATCTTTAGAAACCGGTTTGTCTGATTAAAACAGGTAATATATTGAATTTGAAACAGAATTTCAGCCAACATTTGCTGATGATAAGGACAACTAAATGTTTTATTAGAAAACTACTTCATCTATAGATTCACTTTTACTGCACAGAACTTTGCAGAAGTTATTTTGTAGAGTTGTGGTTTTACTCAGCACATTTCTTTTTATTTACTTATTTATATGAAGGAAATGTTTAGTGCACAGAGTGAACTTCTGCATTTACAGTAAAACAAACGAGTCAATTAAAACCCATCAGGGATCATTACAGCTGATCTAATAACTAAATCCAAGAGTTGCATTTAATATTTTTTATTCTCAATGTTTAACCTGAGAGCTGCATTTAAAATATTTTTGTAGGAGAAAATAAATGTTTATTCAGATTGAGTTTGGTAAACGTGCTTCAAACTAGAAGAACTAACGGAACAAACAACTGGGCTCAGTTATAAAATATAAAGAGTTGGAAGAGGAATAACATTTTAATTAAACATTATAAACAGAACAGCCATTCGCCAAGTAGAGAATGTGAAACAAATCTGTGCAGCAGGTAAAGTTCCCTGACAAATGTAAGATGTTTTCATCAGGACCAGTTTTCATCTCAGCTCAGGCTGCAGAACATCAGCCGATGGTGAAATGTACAAACCCACGTTCACCTGAAAGTAACGTCGTTCTGCAACAAATGAATCATTACAAATGAATCATTACAAATGAATCATTACAAATGAATCATTACTGTTTTTATCTGTACCTGTGTCTCGTTCTGCTGCTGCCAAGACTTCATAACTCTTCATGTCTGTGATGCTGCTGAGACGTTTTCAAACAGTCTGCGTTCAACATTTTCGCCACACGCGTCATGTATGTGTTGATGTTGGGAAATAACCTCCTGCTTAGGACGTCATTGAGAAGGCTGCTCTGTAACCCCTCCCTCATTTCCCCCCCAGGTGTACATGTGGGTCGGCTCTCAGACCAGCCAGGTGGAGATCAAACTCAGTCTCAAAGCCTGCCAGGTGAGTGGTGACCTTCATCTACGTGGACATCGTTGTGCCCCGTGTACGTTCCCTACATGATGCCCCCCCTCCCCCCCGCTTTTTTTCAGGTTTACATCCAACACATGCGCTCTAAAGAAGCCGAACATCCGAGGAAGCTGCGCCTGGTGAGGAAGGGCAACGAGCCTCACTGCTTCACGCGCTGCTTCCACGCCTGGGGTCCTTTCAAAACCCCCCCATCTTAGGCCGAACGCTACAAATAACTCACACTCATCAAATCAATGCTGCCATATGTTTTTCTTTCTTTTACAAATGAGACATATCTGTGCCTGTCCTCGACCCTTCACTGCAGCCTTTATTTCAACCAGCAGGTTTACACCCCAACGCCCCGAAGAGTCAAAGTTCTGGATGAAAAAGCAGCTGGTGGGGAACAAAATCTGAGAAATACAGAAAAATGTGGCTTTTTTTGTTCCCCTCAAATTGTTTTATACAAACTGAAATTGTTCCTGTTGAATGAAAGAGTTGTCCGAGTTGTAGAAAGGATTTATAAAACAGACCCCGGGATGGTTTCTCTGAACATCTGTAGTTTTCTGGTTTTCAGCGGAAGAAGCTACTTTGTGCCGTCAGCTCCTCTTACTGAAAGGTTTCACATCTTAGTTTGGATTTCTGACTTGAAACAGAAAGCTTCATCTGAAGAATGTCAAGTTTCTCCCAATACGATTTCACCTGAACCGTTTTCCTTCCGCTCAGTTTGGTCACTCTTCTGTCGTTGTCGTGGGATTATCTGGGATTTTTACATGATCGTTTTATTTATTCTTCACGTGTTTATTTGGCCAAAGACATTTTGTGGCGATCAGGGATGTAAAATCGGGGTGACAAATATTTTTTCCCCCCCAAAGACAATTGTTTAATCGTGCAATCAGGAGAGTCTGGGAGACACAGAGTAACCATACTGTATTCTGCTGCTGCTGCTTTCACTCCTTAAAGATGTTTATTTTCGGGAGAAAAATTAGGAATTCTTTTTTAAAACTTGTAGTCATTGCTTTTTTTTTTTTGGTAACGATTTGTAAACACGGGGGCAGAAGCTCCATCGGTGTAGGCTGTTCTGATCATGTGACCCGTGTTCTGCGCAGACATTGGTCCAACCAAGAGGTTTATGTATTCATTTTATCAAGGGGGGTGGATTGTGCACATGCGCCTAATGCCACTTGCAGATGCTTTATTTATGTATTTTATATAAAATAAAATTTTAAATGCACAGTACGTTTTCATCTGGTCTTAATAAATTCACACATCAGTCAAAAACTAATTCTAAATTAAATTACTGAACTAGTCGCTGACTCTGAAGGTGTTATGATTCAAACATTAACTCACTACCTGGTCTTCGAAAACGGCACAGCACCGTTTCTGCCACTTTAAAGGTTTTAAATTCTCTTATTCACGTGTTTAATTGCAGAAGTTGTTGCTGTGTTCAACTTGAGCTTTTGACACTTGATCAGAGTTCTGCATCAGACTGGCCTTCAAATCTAGCAATCTCTTGGTTTACTGACCACTTGTCAAAAATAATCCAATAGCTGTCACTTCTTTCTCTCAATCATGAAAGGAGTCCCACAAGGTTCAGTCCTAAGACTTGTTTAATTTCCAAATTAAATGTAAATAACGTGAGACGTTTTGTCAAGTGCATTATATCATTTTAAGTACTTGTTAATCTAATGCTGATCTCTGCTCTCACAAATTGTGACAGTTTTATTACAATCTGCTTTCAAAATTGTTCATTCCAGTGTACAAACTGTCAAACTGGTTTTAAATGTAGCTAAAATGGCCACAAGAGATTCAGCTGATTACTGTTCAAGGTAAACAAATTGAGTTTGTAAACCATAAATACCTGGGTTTTACACTCGGTCCCTCAAAGATATAAAACAAACTGGCATTAGCAACCTCTTCCCTTTGTTTAAGGTGATGTTTTTATACATGAACGCCGTCTAGCATTGTGCTTTGAGCTTTGAAACAGGCTGCAGGTGCCTCACATCACTGAGTTGTACTGTAGAGTTTCATTCGGGCCCAAAGAATCCGACCCAGCCCGCAGCCATTTCCGAACCCCACCCGACCCAATGAATTAACAGTAATTACAGCTCCGAACCCAAAAGAAACCCCTGACATTTTTCATTAAGCTTTCACTGCATATAGTTATTAACAGTCCGCAGACGCGCACGGCTGATTAAAAGAGGGCAGAAGATCTGAGCTGAGGGGGCGTTTGTCCTTTCATGGCTGTCAAAGTGCATTACATGCTTCTACCTGCATTCTGCATTATTCTGACACGGACCCTGCTCTGACATGTTGGATATTTTGGAATCTCACCCATTTGTGTTGTCGGCTGCATTCGTCCGGAGTGCAGCTGAATTTTTTTTTTAAATTACACCACTTTCTAAAGGAAAGAACAAAGACGTCTCATGTGTTTGAACATCTTTAACTCTTTCAAGGCCGGTCAGCACACGGTGAAATGGCTGCATGTGGCCAGCGATTGTATGGCAAGCCATGTTGCCATAAAATTGAATAGTCAGCCGAGCACGTTCACTGACTATCAAAATCCCGACACCGGCCCCGCCCTAATCCAGGGCTCTGGGTTAGCAATGACAGCTCTACTGTACAGCACAGCTGATTGGTCCCGAGTGCATGAAAACGCATTCACTGGATGACTGAGCCTGGCCAAGCAAATTCTTGTGAATCAGTCTTACAAAAAGTTTTTAGGCTTTCCGCTCCCTTCACGTGTTCCCCACATTTGGACGGAAAGAGTGAAACAGACATTTGGCGTCAGTTCAACAGCATGGAATAGTCTCAGGTCTGAACTCAAAATAATGGCTCTCATAAGCAACGTGAATCTAATAATCATTGTCAGGGTTTTGTTTTTCTTTCTCTATTTTCTGCCTTTTATGATTTAATTGTTCAAGTGATTGTCCTTTTTTATTGTTTTGAACTCGTAACTGAATGTTGCACTTTTATCCAGGTCCCTCTTGCAAATGAGATCTTTGAATCTGGTTAAAGAAAATTAAATTTATTTTCAATGCATGCAAACCAAACTGAACGAAACATTAGAGTAAATACATTTTTATTAACATTCACAATTCAACAGCCAAAATGCTAAATAATCAAATTAATAAATTCCTACAAATGAAAGACACTGGAAACTCAACTGTGGGGTTAAAAGTTAATTTATAACAGATGTCACTTGAAATGGTTAATTTTGTTCATCCAGAACATCAAAAATACTTCCAGATGATTCCTACCTGCTGATCTACATCAGTTAGTCTCTACGTTTTAGGTTCTGGCACTTTGACGCTGGTTTACAGCTGCGAACATACCATCGAGTTAAAATGTTTAAAATACTGCTGATCAAAGCTAGACTTGTTGGCAACATTACCCAGAATGCAACACTTTCAGAATGACTTTGCAACACTTCCCTGAGTCCTGTCTAAAGATTCCCATCAACTGAATCCACCATTATATAGAAGCTGCTGAATTGTTTTTTATTTTACCCAAACGTGAGCAGAAAGTGAAACCGGACACTTTATTTTGAAATTGGATCTACGAGAACCGTTTTACCTCCTACGTCTCACTCCGCAGTCGTTCAGTAATACCGTCATTTCTGGTCTCGATGACTTCCTGTCACATGGCACAAGATCAAAGGTCAGCATCCCTCCTTCAGCTGCTTCTCTTCAAAGTCCGTGAGTTTTACTCCTCCCCCTTCCCGACCATTTGCCATTAAAATAGATTTACTTTCTCACATAGCAACACGAAGACATTCAGTCTCAACACGAACCTCCTTCATTGTTCCAGTTCGTTCCTTCGACATATTCCGATACTTCTACTCCTCGTTGGTGCCTAAATGAAGAGTGGAGATGCTACAATGTCCAAAAATAGTCAAATCCTTCATTTACTAGTCTCGCTTTTCTCAAAGCTACAATCCTTCCACTCAGTTTGAAGGAATAAAGTCGTTATTGGGGCACCGTCAGGTCCGTTAATCAAAAAGAGGCTTTTAAACCGAGGGCCAGGTGCAGCTCCAGCTGTGCAGAAGCCTCGTGTGCAACGATGTGAAGGACCAATAAACAAAAACAATAATCCTGCCGAAGGTCGAGTCACAGGTCCTGGGCTGAAACAGCGTGAAGGTGGACGCCAGAACCATGAGCTCCGAGGCGGTCCAGACCGGGGCAGAGTGAGTCTCTGAGTGGGAGGTGCCATCAGAAAGTGGTTACAGGAGAAGAGTCCAACCGGGACCTCCCGCCCAGCTCGAGCCGGGCTAACAGGAGAGACCACACTGGGTTGATGTTGGGGTGATTGTAGTCCAACGTGGAAATTGGGTCCATTAAAACTACTCAAAGCCCTCCGTGGAACACTGTTTGAAAAATAAATTTAAAATAATTAGCATTTAAACATCAGGGCACTTGAAAAAAAAAAAAAAAATTCATAATTCAAGTTTAAAAATATAAAAATACATATTTTTAAACAGAACTCCACTGGCATTCAGACAAACATACATGACCAGAAATACTCAGGTTGGATTAAATTAACTAACTGCATTGTTACAGTCCATGCTCAATAATCCAGGTATACAACCCAAGAATTTTCAGTCAGGTCATCTGGACAGTTACATTGTTCCCCCGTTTTCCTGCTGTACTGATGAGACAAACCTTTCATGGCCATTCGCTGCATTTTCATACAAACCCGATGCTCTAAAACTGTTTGAGCACAACTTACAAAACGATTATTCTTAATATTAAGTATAGTAGAAAAAAACAACAATATCGTGCTCATAAAAATAAAAACTCGTCCAGCTCGTTTCTTTTCGGTCTGTAGTTTCTTGACTGTTCCACAAGAGGGCAGCAGAGGCCAATACGTGGGTCGACCCAAAACAAAGATGGAAGCAGAAATTTTATCTACGAGTCCAGAGAATGATGGACGATCCACTCGGACCGGAACACTTCTGAAGACGTTTTGAAGGATGCCAATGCAGCTACTGCCCCGACATTTTGTTTCTACCGTGAGGCATGTTCCAACCGCAAAGGTCTAGAGAGGGATGTTTCTCCTAGATCTCTTAGTTTACAGGGAAATTTCAGGAGAGTTTTCCTCTACATTTTGTCTACGTTGTACGATACAATGTTAACGAACATCATGGCACGCTACTCCAATCTGAGACGTGTTTTTATAACATGCTATTTTTGTTGAGGTTTTTCCAAAACTGCAGGAGTAGAGAAGTGAAGCTCCTAAAGACTACAGAACAACAGGTGATTAGTATAAAGGCGACTTCTCAGGTGAGGGTCCATCTCATCCTGGCCTCTTGAACTATGCAAACTTCCCAACTTCTCCACCTGTGAGCTGTGACGGTAACTTCCTGCCATCCATCAGATTATCTCTGCCATAAAACACCTTCAGATGAAACTAGGAATGCTTGGGTGCCGTCGGGCTCCTCTGAATTAGACTTGGATGTGGTATGAAGTGAGAGCTGGTGGAGTCCATTAGAAACGTGTCCCCTCACACTGATGATCATGTAGAACTATAATAAAGCTGCCAACGATCTGAGCTCACTTGTTCAGTTGATGAGGATGTCGGTGGAGCGTCCCTCTTCTTCTTTTATGTTCTTCAGATTATTTTCCACTTCGTCCACAGTCCTAAAAAAAGAACGATGAAATATATTTTAGCTTCAAAGAAAGCAAACCAGAGAATACATTTGAAGTTTTGCTCAGTGCATGTGCTCACGTAAGGAAATCCCTGACGTCCTCCACGGTGAGCTCTCCAGCCGAGTCCAGGGTGAGGTCGGCGCAGCTGAGGGGGGAGTCCAGTGGGGTGTCCAGGATGGGCGAAGACAGGGAGCTGGGAGGCTCCGGCGTGTGTCCTGAGGGGGACAAACCCAGAGAGTTGTGGGTTGAAGGGTGCGCTGCTGAATCACATTTTTGACTCAACACAAAAACAATGAACAAGTTTTAACCTCCTCACAAGCCAGAGAAAAGTGCTGAAGCGGGTTATTTAAAGCAGCGTGCTTCAGTAGGCGAAGGATCACCCACCCCTTCACTCAAGACTGAAATATTGACGACTCACTGTCAGCTGGAACAATAAACACAACCCTCACTGTCACAGAAAGACTGTCAACAGGTTATTCTTCATATTCTTTTAACTTAATCGAAAACACCTAAAAATGTACAAATGAAGCTTCTTTTAAGGTAGTTCGGTTTCTCTTTGCAAAGTGTTGATGTGTGTGTGTACAACACAAGCAGAGCAGGGCCCACCACGGGTTCGTTTCTGTGTCTTTGTTAAAAGACTTCCTGATAAATTCCTTCAGTGCAAATCATCAAACTCCCACAGACAAGTCCCTCCTCCGTTTACTGAAACAGCCTGAGGGAGCTGCATTAATCACAGCTGAGAGGCAAAAAACAAACAGAGAAACACTTCCAGTCAGGTATAACTTCAGAGGTTCGCTCTATAACTCTGTCATCTTTAAAGCCAGTAATAAAGGAATAAATCAGATTCTGTAGTAAAGTTATGAACAATTTCTTAATATTTAAGGTCTAATTAAAATGGGAAAATCTGTAGAATTACTGTATTTTTCAGCCTATAAGTCGCAGTTTTTACATAATTTACATGCCCTGTGACTTGTACGCCAAAGCAACATATTTATGGATCATTGTTTGGATGTAATATTTTAAGACGGGAGTCGTTTTAAGGAGGCAGAAGTCCACTTTGGTCTTCGACTTCCTCAGAGCTTTAGTTAGCTGGTCAATCAAACAGCTATCTGGAACAGGTAAGATATTAGCAGTTCATACCTTTCTACAGGACATCACTGAATTCTCACATTAGGCAGAAAAAAATAAAAGCATACATTAACTGCGTTTACTATGACTGCACCTAAAAAGCATTAATTTAAGCTAAATGCAGTTTATTAATTACTTGAACATTTTGAAGGATTTTGCTTAAACACAGAGCAGACCAGGAAGAGTTTACATAAAATTAATCATTATTTCAACACAAAGACATTAAAACACTGATGTCTGAATAAAAATAGCCTACAACCAAATGCCAGATGAAAGTTTGACCCGTTTCCACAACAACCACTGCCTAATGGAGAGGCAACTGGAGCATGCTGAATGGTTGCCATGGAGACCAGAGGGGTCCCTGCCAGGTCTGGTCAGGGCTAAGAGCAACAGAGTTGTTAAGAAAAGAAGGAGGAGGAGGAGAGAACAAGAAATGCTCAGTCGTACCTTCAGCCTGACCCAGCTGGTTCTTGTGGGTTCCGTTGGGCTGCAGCTGCATTGTAGTACCATCGCTGAGGAAACACGCAGGCACACAGTTTGGCAACAGACAATCATGAAGCATCATTTCATTACTTTAATGTGCAGTTTAGAAGTTTAGAAGCTTCAAGCCTTCAGAAAACCTAGAAAGGCTCTGAGTGACACGTTTAGAGGTTCTTACAGAACACGAGGTGTTAAAAACTAGCAGGAGATCCCTGAAGTACTTTTGTAGCACCTGCATACTGTATTTGAGACATTACCAAGAAAACTTTGTTTAATCAATCCAATACCATTCCATATAGATATTAAACATACTTATTACCACATAACAGTCTCCATGTGTGAACATCTAGATCAGAGATCAGTAATAATCGTGATAAAACACTTTCTTTAGTCCAACAGTACTAAAAAAGTGTAGTAATGCAAGCACATTCTATTTAAGAGCAGTAAGTCTTTATTTTTCAGAATATTTGGACCTTATAGTTCAGGACTGTCCCTCAGTTTACTGTGAGCATCTAGTTCAGGGCTACTCGAAAAAACGGACAGTAGCTGAAATCCAGCAGCTCAGAGACCGGACATCCAGCAATCATAATGTAAATAAACCAATGTTTACAATGATGTTACCTTTTTTAAATTTGTTTATTTTATTGCACTGAATCATAAATGCAATAAACAGAACCCCACCCCCCAAAAATAATGTTTTCTTTCTTTTATTTTATGAAGTCATTGGTGGCCAGACTGAACATCCCTGGTCTAGATCTTTGAAGTGGGGCTTATGTTTTGCACTTCACATCTAAATGTTTTAAACAAAGATGTTGTGTGATCCGTTAGTGCTCAGAGCACGTGTTGGAGAGGACTCTCAGCTGCTACCACACCAAACTTTGGCTCAACATCTGTAAAACTGACCGAGTTTATTCAGGTTGATCAACAGAACACATGAAAACAGACCTTCCATGACGGCGGGCGATAAAAAGCTTCATTATTGTCAAACTTGAGATTTCCTCAGGCAGATTTAAAATAGAGAAAATATCTTCATAAGTTATAATTACAAACACCATTTCCACTAAAAATGGAGTGTTTCGTGAAAATTACAGCAAATCTTTAAAGTATTTTTACCACTAACACATTAATATTTAAAATAACTATTTTCAGTGTGTTTTTACAACCCTGACTCTTTTCCCTCGTGCTGTAAAGCTACTAAAAGACCAGATTCTTAATATTTGACACAATTTTCAATTGACAGATGATTCTTTGCCTGAGTTCACCCATCCAGCTCGTTTCAATTCCAATCCTTATTTTTTTTGTTAAAGAAAAGGTTCGCTCCAATCAAAAATGAGCCTTAAGTGTAATTTTCCCCCTCCGTGTTTCTGAATATAGAGTTAACGATGTAATCAGTTGTGTGCGTTTGTCAGTGCCTCACCTGGCTGTAGTGAACTCCAGAGGTCGGTCCAGTTGAACAGAACACAGCGGTTCTGTCAGAACTTTGGCGGACAGGGAGAACCTCTCGTACTCTGAAGGAGAGATCAGATAAAACCCTACAGAAATAACAGAAAAGACAAATGTCTATAAATGCATAAATAGATTGAACCAATTTATTGAGAGTTTAGAGCAAAGGTTCCCCAACTTGGTGTTTTGGGATCCTCACAAAACACCAAGTTGAGGATCCCAGACAGTCTTCAGAAACCAAACTCTTCCTATGAACAGATTTTACTACAATTGTTACAAAAGATTAAAAAAAAAAGTAAAAATTTTTTAAAAAGTCATACATTTTGAAAAGCTGTATAATACCAGTTTAAGCTACTTTTGTTTTTATTATTTACCTTTTATTTAAGTCAAGTCAAATTTATTTATAAAGCACGTTTAAAACAGCAACTGGTACCAAAGTGCTTAACAAAAAGATCACAGCATCAAATAAAAAATACGATATAATTGAAAGCATCAGGAATAAAAACATAAAAACACAAAAACAATGAGAAACAATGAAATACTAAATCAAATCACACCATGTTAAATGTCAATGAATACAGGTGTGTTTTAGGAGAGACTTAAAAGCAGAGACTGAAGTGGTCCATCTAATGTTGCGGCACAGATTGTTCCAAAGTTTAGGGCTCACGACTGAAAAAGCCTGATCTCCTCTGAGTTTCCGTCTTGTTCTTGGAACAGACAAAAGCAGATGATCAGATGATCTCAGCGCCCGAGAAGGAACATTAAGGTTGAAGTAGGTCAGAGAGATGAGGGTGCAAAGCCATTCTGAAACGTATAGGGAGCCAGTGAAGAGAGGACAAAACTGGTGAAATATGATCAAACCTACGAGTTCCTGTTAATGGCCAAGCTGCAGCATTTTGAACAAGCTGGAGACGTGAAAGGAGACCTGACTGACCCCAGTATAAAGAGTGTTACTGTAGTCCAGTCGGGTAGTAATGAAGGCATGGACTATTTTTTTCCAAAGTCAGATCTGGTCAACACTGACTTAAGCTTAGCTATCTGCCTTAACTGGAAGAAGCTTTTCTGCAGAAAAGAGTTAATCTGTTTATTAAACTTAAAGTCAGAGTCTAAAACCATTCCATGATTCGTAACAGACTGCTTAAGATATAGCTGAAGAGAGTCCAGGTTTACAGGATCAGAGACTCAGTAGGGCTAGGGCTAAACACAATGACTTCAGTCTTCTGATCATTAAAACTTAAGAAATTTGAAGCCATCCATGTCTTTATGTCATCAAGACATTTTAGCAGTGGGTGAGTGGAGCAGGAACTGTTGGGTTTTAAGGGCAGATAATGACAATCAGCATAAAAATTAAATGAAAGACCATGTTTTCTCAGGATAGACCCCAAGAGGAGCAGATACAATGAAAACAGAAGGGGCTCAAGAATAGAGCCTTGCGGGGCCCCGCAGGAATAAGGTACTGAAGCACATATACACCATTCCCAACATTTCATAATTAATGTTTGTGTAGTTCAACTAAGATGCTGTTATTTTGAGGTCAGAATGGAAAAAGTTTAGCTTTAAATGAACATTACAGAGCAGAAGTAAAGACTCAGGTGTGAAATGCGTGATCTGCCTCCTCACCCTGTCCATTCTTGGTGAAGAGGCAGGATGCGATGCCACTAATGTCCTCTTTACGGATGCAGTCATATCGAACCTAAAGAAAAGTGCCGCAGAAGAAAAGACATTAAAAAAAGCCTCACATGTCTAATACTGGGACGGCTTTTCAGATCTACCTGAGGTCGGAGGCCAGGTATGTTAAAGAGGTGCATGTCTCCCAGGTTGGTGAGGCAGACCAGTGTGTGTTCACTGTAGTCCTCCTGAGCTGCCGAGCTGAAGAGTACAAGGGCGACCTTCCTCACCCGACAGCCTTCGTGGGCCGTCAGCTTGAACTTAGTCTTGGCACTGACTTTGGGGAGAGAGAAGACCTGGACGGAGAGCAGAGGAGGAGATCCGGGGTTTACAGCTAGAACATCAACCTTTAGACCAGACGTAATGTACTTCGTTACCTTGAGCTGCTCCTCTGAGGCGATGAGGACAGAGTGAGCGTTAGTCACATCTGGTGCGATGGAGAGGTCCTGCGAGGCTTCATACGGGTCCGGTAAGGGCTTTCCCCGCCCGTCTAAAACGCATATGGAAACTACAGGAGCCCTGTGCATCAGCTGGATCTCTTTCCCCAACACCGCCTCCACACACGAGCTGCTCTCGCTGGCTCCGCCCCGTTCACACGCACGACCCGAACAGACGCCGGGCACCTCTAGGGCGTAGGCGTACACGCTGCCCGAGTTGGTGCCAGCCCAGAGCGTAGGTCCGTGATGAGTACCTGATCAACAAACAGCTCCTTGTTAGGGCCATGAAACTTACAAGACTTCTTTTTCTCACCACTCATTCCTGCAAACTTCACAAAGGAAATGTGCAAAATTACAAAAAAAAGCTGAAGCGCTGAAATGATTCATAAAGTAACCACACTAAATATTTAAGGCTTTGTTTAATCCTCACTACTGTGTACCATGGATGGACATTTCAAACAAAACTATTTAATCACTAATAAATGCTGACAAAAATGCACAAAAGTAGGCTGTTTATAACTATTTCTTTGTGCAAGTATTCAGTGAGACTGAAACCGAATTTTGTCTAATTTTCTTGCAGTTTTGAGTCGCCAACATTCACAGCACAGCTGGATACAGCTTCAAGCATTTAAGGTGAATCAGTGTGATTGTTGGTGGAACCACATGCTGATAAAAACGTGCAGAAACTATAGACCCGTATAAACACTAGACTATTTAGAGAGTTGTTTTTAAGATTTTTATAAGATTGCTTTAACCCAGTGCTTCTCAATTATTTTCTGTTTTGTGAGTGACGTCCAGAGCGCATGGACATAAAAAAACAGCAGCGGAGGATGGAGGAGGTGACGGTCAGAGTTTATTTATCGTGTCAGCAGCGGAGGAGAGACACGGTTCATGCATGGCTCCCAAAACGACAAGGCAGCCATATTTGTTCATAACTTTATTAGGAACGCACGCGACAAAATGAGAATGGTGGGGAAAATAAAATAAAAAACCCTACTCCCTGTGGCAAAAAAAGCATGTTTTCTAGGGTCACATGCCCCCCCAGGGGGGCGCGCCCCACTATCTGAGAAGGACTGCTTTAACCAGTGTTTGCGAGTTGATTAAAAGCCTTCAGAATCTAATTCTTGAACACTAAATTACTTGATACCTAAAACCCAACAAAGGAGTATTCTTCTACCAAACTGGGTTGGCACCCGACAAAAAGGAAACTTACCGTCCCGTAGAAATGTGTCTGCGAAGCAGAGACATCTGACCACTCCGGACAGAGAGTCGTCTGCTGAGCGGGGCTCGATCCTTCGCTGCACCGGAGCAACTTCCTCCTGCTCCGCTAGAGCAGCATTGGCCTCGTGAACCTTCACCCAGAACATTATTTACAGTATAAACGTAAAACTACACAAAACAAATATTCAAAGTAAAGGATTAATCAGGTTTCATTTAGCACACAATCACAATCTGTCACCTTGCTGATAGGTGTGGTGATGACGCGCTTCTTTCCCGACACCCTGCTTTTGCGGATGCGTCTGAAACTTTGTCTAAGAGATTTTTTCAAAGACTTGACCCTCGAGAGGGGCCCCTCCATGGCCAGGGAGTCATTTGGGTGCAGCGTGCACCTAGGAGAACATAAAAAGAAGCAGAGTTGTTGGCAAGGTCTTCAATATTTCTTATAAAAAATAAAATTTAAAAGTGTGTCTAAAACTGCATGACTTATCCAGTAAATATACATGTATAAAAAAGACGAGTCTTGCCATTCACTACTCGTTCTTTGTGCAATGACTGCAGCAGAATACAATAAAGAGAAGATTAAAAGCAGTAGCTGCGCGTGTCAAACCTGGCCAGCACAGAATTTCGTCTGTGGTAGTCGAAAAGGCCGAATCCGTGACTCGTTCCGAAGGCGATCAGGTTCCACTCTGTGTGCAGCGCCACTGCCGTGACCGACGCCGGGGGCAGACACTGCACCAGCACCAGAGGTTGGAAGCCCGGGGGGAACGGGGCGGGTTTGAGACGCGGCTCCAGACGGTCGTGACCCTTCCAGGTGAAACCCTCCCTGTCCTGCAGGAGGTCGACCACAGACACGTCCACCGAATGGTCTGAACGCTCATCGTTAAAACCCAAAACAATCACCTGCAGAGATAAAGAAACAACATGGAGGTTTGCTTTTATTTAGTTTATGACAGTAACTACCACAAATGAACAAAAAGTCATTATTTTAAATATTTCATCAATGTGTCAAGTTATTTATCCCCAAATGTTGCAGTGAGAAGCTTATTCTGCGTTAAAATGAAGATATTTGAACATCACAATCCCACAAGGACCTGGCTTGTCTGAAAAGACATTTTCAAACAGACTTTAAAGTCTTCTCTCACATCAGCATCACAGAAGCGAACACATCCACGCAGAGGGACGACTAAAGCAGGTCTTCACCTGTCCGGCGGTTCCAGCCACCATCAGCTTGTTGCTGTATTTACACAGACTCATCTTCTGGATGCCGAGCCGAGGGTCGTCACTGTACGGGTCAAAACAGCCCACCTAAACACACAAGTTGAAATTACAACCAGGAGTTGGGGGGGGGGGGGGGGGCATTGTGCGTTTATTTATGAAACATTTCAAACCAAATTACAAAATGTTTTGTTAAAAAAAAAAAAAAAAAAAGAAATTAATGGGTAAAATAAAATAAATATTGGAGACGAGAAAACAGGAGGCGAGTATGAGGTGATCACATAATTTACAAACCGGATTCCAAAAAAGTTGGGACACTAATCAAATTGTGAATAAAAACTGAATGCAATGATGTGGAGGTGCCAACATCTAATATTTTATTCAGAATAGAACACAAATCACAGATCAAAAGTTTAAACTGAGAGAATGTATCATTTTAAGGGAAAAATCTGTTGTTTCCAAATTTCATGGCGTCAACAAGTCCCAAAAAAGTTGGGACAAGTCCATTTTTACCACTGTGTGGCATCCCCCCTTCTTCTTACAACACTCAACAGACGTCTGGGGACAGAGGAGACCAGTTTCTCAAGTTTAGAAATAGGAATGCTCTCCCATTCATGTCTAATACGGCCTCTAACTGTTCAATCGTCTTGGCCCTTCTTTGTCACACCTTCCTCTTTATGATGCGCCAAATGTTCTCTATAGGTGAAAAATCTGGACTGCAGGCTGGCCATTTCAGTACCCGGATCCTTCTCCTACGTAGCCATGATGTTGTGATTGCTGCAGAATGTGGTCTGGCATTATCGTGTTGAAAAATGCAGGGTCTTCCCTGAAAGAGATGACGTCTAGATGGGAGCATATGTTGTTCTAGAACCTGAACATAGTTCTCTGCATTAATGGTGCCTTTCCAGACATGCAAGCTGCCCATGCCACAAGCGCTCATGCAACCCCATACCATCAGTGATGCAGGCTTCTGAACAGAGCGTTGATAACAACTTGGGCTATCCTTGTCCTCTCTGGTCCGGATGACATGGCATCCCAGTGTTCCATAAAGAACTTCAAATCGTGACTCATCTGACCACAGAACAGTCTTCCATTTTGCCACACTCCATTTTAAATGACCCCTGGCCCAGTGCAAACGTCTGAGCTTGTGGAGCTTGCTTAGAAATGGCTTCCTCTTTGCACTGTAGAGTTTCAGCTGTCAACGGCGGATGGCACGGTGGATCTTGTTCACCGACAATGCTTTCTGGAAGTATTCCTGAGCCCATTCTGGTATTTCCTTGACAGTGGCATTCCTGTTTGAGGTGCAGTGACGTTTAAGGGCCCGGAGATCACGAGCATCCAGTAGAGTTTTACGGCCTTGACCCTTACGCACAGCGATTGTTTCAGATTCTCTGAATCTTTTGATGATGTTATGCACGGTTGATGATGACAACTTAAAAGTCTTTGCTATTTTACGCTGGGTAACACCATTCTGGTATTGCTGCACTATCTTTCTGCGCAACAATGGTGGAATTGGTGATCCTCTTACCATCTTGGCTTCCGAGAGACAATGACACTCTGAGAAGCTCTTTTTATACCCAATCATGTTGTCAATTGACCTAATTAGTGTTAATTGGTCTTCCAGCTGTTAGTTATATGCACAATTTCCTTTTTCCAGCCACTTATTGCTACTTGTCCCAACTTTTTTGGGATTTGTTGACACTGAAATTTTGAATCAATATATTTTTCCTTTAAAATGTTACATTTACTCAGATAAAACTTTTGATCTGTCATCTATGTTATATTACGAATAAAATATTGACATTTGCCATCTCCACATCATTGCATTCAGTTTTTATTCACAATTTGTTTAGTGTCCCAACTTTTTTGGAATCTGGTTTGTACACCAGAAACTGAAATTAGGATGATTCCCCACCACCTTGCACACATACACTGACACACAAGTTATCCAAACTTTACACCTTCATCCAACATCACAAGCTCAGTTTTATTTAACTTGTAAAAATAAGATTTTCCTTGAACCCAGCAAAGTTAAGTCGGGTCCTCTGGACGGTTTCTTTTTGTTGAAACGTTTCGTCTTTCATCCAAAGGACTTCATCAGTCTAAGGAGTCGCAACAAACTCAGTCTTATAAATAGCAACTTCACATAGTGGGTTAACCAGTTTGATGGTGCCAAGATGGTTTCTGGAGTCCGCCCTCTCCCCCGTCGACTCGTTTGAGGCAGTCATGGCCAAAGTGATTCAAAACATCAAAATTAGATTTAAAAAAATCCAACCAAGTTAAGTCAAGTCCTCTGGACAGTTTCTGAAGGTGCCATTTGTAAGACTGAGTTTGTTGCGACTCCTCGGACTGATGAAGTCTTTTGGATGAAAGACGAAACGTTTCAACATAAATAGACTGTCGAGAGGACCTGACTTACTTTGTTAGATTTTTCTACCTGGATTATTGAGCATGAACTGTGATATGTTCCTTGAACTTTATTTTTGTTTTTATAACCAGCAGCCTCTTTTCCTAATTTTCCTCCCAAGTTCCACAACAGCCTTCCCACTTTTCCTTCATACATGCTCAGCAAACACTCCTCAATCTTGTCCTCCTGCTTTTCTTTCCCTCACAAAGACAGAAGGAATTCCAGCAGGATCTTTCTCACATGGAAGTAGAGTCTCTGCAAAGTGAAAACATAGAAGCTGCTCTCTCCCTCTCTCACACACACACACAAGTTTGAGTCTGGTTTTCATTACAGCTGAGAAAAAAAAGGGAAGGTTTCTTCATCCCATATGAGAACCACATTCCTGAACATGCAGCTCTGTTACCACGAGATGCACGAAGCAATGGGTAGAAAGAGGCTCAGAGGAATTATGTAAAGCAAAATATGAGAAACATCCTTTATAATTCATTCACTCCCATCTCCATCCTGAAACATTTTGCCTCCATGCCTTTGCCTTCTTTTGTTGTTAAATACTCGTTGAGTTCTTCGCTTCGTGTCCCATCTCCAACCTCCACTTCCTGTCTGCTGAAACTGCTCAAACTGTGTTAATGCTGCTTTTCATTTATGAATCAGATCATTTGAACGCAACGCTCCACAAAAAATAAACAATTAAAATACACTCAGACTGTGGTTTAGGCTACAAGAACAATAGGGTGGTTCTGTCCGAGGTCCAAACTGATGAAAACCATCTGATGAGAAAATGAGGCCACAGATGTTGAGTTTAAGGACAGCGAGTGTGTGTGTGTGAGTGAAACAGACCAGCTGAGTGAACTCCCAGTCAGTAAAACATGCGACTTGAGCTTGAAAGGCTCTTACCTTCCTGAACGGAGGCCACTCCTCCTCCTCCTGCTGCAGGTCGGGGTCGTTTGGGTCGTGGGGGTCGTCGCAGGGGTCACAGTCGGTGTGGAAGACGTTGGCTGTGCTGAGTTTGTACAGAGGAGTGAGGGCCACACCTGACGCGTCCCAGAAACGCACCGTGCCGTCTTCGTGCCTGTAAAGGTGAGATTTAAATAAAAACATGAGCTCAGTCATGACGGCAGAGATCTGTGTGTTTGAGTGAGGAAATCTACGGTAATCACTAAGAATTTACAATGTATTTAAAACTATCCAAATTTTATTTTATTTGTCGTCGTTTGTCGTGTTATGATCTTTCAGTCAGTTTCTCCTCAGAAACTTTCAGCCTGGGAGGAAAAAAGTCTCACGTTAGTCCTCGACAAAATCTTAAAATGATGAGAGAGCCTGCCGTTACAGGCCAAGCAGCTTCGACTGCTGAGGGTGTGTTCAGACTGCAGGTTAGACATTTTTTATTTTATTCAGTTTCTTAAATTCTACTACAGACATTCAGAACCTTCTCTGTAATACATCTTTTTTTTAACAAAACAGCTTTATATTTATGTTATTTGAACTTTTCATTCTTTAACTTTTAAACATCAACTTTATGGTTTGCTTGTTTGTTTACTTGCTAAATAAACAATGAAATGGGTGACTGAATAGGTGACTGGATCTGCTGGAGGTTTCTTCCTGTTAAAAGGGAGTTTTTCCTTTCCACTGTCTCCTTTGTGCTTGTTCAAGATGGGAGACTGTGACGAAGTGAAGATTCAACACAATCTGCTGGCTTCCTTAGATAAATAACTTTTACTAATTGACTTTTTAATGTATGTGAATGTTTCTGTTCAGTGCCCTGAGACGACTACTGTTGTGACTTGATATAAATAAACTGAACTGAATTAAAGATTTGGTAAACTAATCTGCTGTAAACAATATGTGTTGCATGAAACATAATATCCATTATCCTCCATTCAGATGTTCACCGGCTAAACAGCAAGTCCCAAAACTTTAGCTTTAGCTTCCAGAGCAGTCGGCAGGTTATAGAATATGGGGTTTTGGATTTTGACTAATTTATTTTTAACTTAAAAATGTGTTTATTCTACCAGCGGCCACAGAATTAGAGTTGAGACTGATTTGATCCACTATTGACATTTAAATTTAGGCACTGGGATCAGACGAGAACCACAAAAAGGTGAATTCAGTGCAACAAAAAAAAAACCCACCTGCATCATGTGCATGTGCGTATGTGTGTGTACAAACCCTGTCAATAGCAGCTCTTGCTGTTTGGGTGGAGGTGCCAGGTTTTTCCCTCCACATATTGGCCAGCTCTGCACAAACAAACAAAATGAGCGAAAGAAGCAGCAGCAACAGCATTTATCTACAGGACGTATTAAACTGAACGACACAGAAAGATAAAATCTTCTGCTTTCTTTGTCATCGTGACCTCAGTTGAAAAATTACCAACAGAAAATTTATTCCCTGTCCTCTGCAGCTTTTCGTTTCTGTGACACGGCCAGCAACTCACACAGACGGACGGATTTATCAACTTAACAGCTGTTACCAGTACTCTGTGTGTGTGTGTGTGTGTGTGTGTGTGTTGGTCTAATCTGCCATCGATCAAACAGCTGATCTAAGCTAAAAGCTTCTGAAAAGCCTTTAACTGCTTACACCTGCTCTTTAAGCTCACACACATTAATAGCAGCACACATTCGTGCTCGTTTCCTTCCCTGTGAGCTCAAATTAAATGGTTCAAAGAGGTTATTTCCGTGCATGCAAATGGTCTTAATGGTTGTACTTTCACATCACCAGGTGAACATTTAGTCTGCTTTGAGCCTTAAGACAGTAGCAGGAACATGTAGCCTCACAGTTAGCTGTACAGAGATTTAAAAAGGCTAAGCTGTTAGCTTACACATCTAAACCAATTAAAGAAAAGCAAAGGGATTTACAAACAGGCTTTTCCTCCAGCTACTGTTACATTCAACTAACAAAAATAAAACGTTTCCTTTATGCTCTTCTCACCATGTGTGTGTGCTGGTGGCCTCGTTGTGCTTTCCCAGCATTTATTAACCTCTCCCATAGTTTGGGAGGGACGCTGGCGATGTGGCAGGAGCAGGTGATGGCCGAGGAGTGAAGGGGGGCGAGGTAGGGAGTCGGCAGAGAGGGCCATCCGGTTGTCTGCAGATCAATCACAACCAGCTCCTCTTCTAGCAACACGACTAAAGCCGACGGGTCATCAAACTCTGAGAGGAGGAGAGGGGGGATTAAGTAAACTTTAAGAAACATTATGATAAACCCAGGGATCCAGATGTGTGATGCGGGTCAGACCTCTCTCTGGTTCGATGTTCTGGACAGTGAAGAAGTCGATCACTCGAGACGTGAAGTCCAGAGTGACGTGCTGCTTGTCCTGCTGGATGGTCAGACAATGCCGGTCCCCATAGCTGGCTCTGGGCATCCCGCCGCTGTACAGCAACACTGGAGACCTGAAAAACAAAGAAAAAATGTTAATTATTTGTGCCCTGATTTAAAAAAATAAAATAAAATAAAAAGCTGCCTATAAAAAAAAAAAAAAAAAAAAGGTATTTTCAAAAGTACAGTAGTCCCTCACTACTTCACGATTCAACTTTTGCGGACTCGTTCTTTTACGGTTTTTTAAAGTAAGATTGGACATGACACGCAATTGGCTGATTGATGAATGAGCCACATGGATTGTTTATTTAAAATATATATATTTTTTAATGATTTATCACCTGCTGCACCTGTGTGCAGGCCACAGGTGCAGGGAGAAGCTCCCTCCTGCAGCGTGTCATGATCTCCGCTCTCTGCCATGCCTACTCCTCTGCTGCAATCACACTCATCACCTGCTCCCAATCTCACAGCTTCTGTGTAAATAAACTATTTAAATGTAAATAATTTATTGTTTTAAATAAGCAATCCATGCTGCATGGACTGTTTATTTTAAATTTATTTAAATTTTTTTTGTAAATTTGTTTCTTTTCCAGAGAATTTCCACTTATGTGCACATTTCTGCATCTTTCAGCCTAATTGGGCACAATTGTGCTCTCTCCACTTTCTTCTGGTAACTTGGGCTTCTTTCTGCCATTTGAGCTAATTTTCGGCTATTTCTTGCTAATTTCAGCTTTTCTTTAACTACTAATTAGCTACAAATTAACTAATTAGCTACTAATTTTTCTGCAAATTTCTGCTCATTTAAACCAAATTCAGAAAATTTGTGTTCTTTCTGCTTCTTCTAACTTTGGCTTGTTCTTCCATTTCAGCTACATTTCAGCATGTTTTTAGGCAATTTCAGCTGTTTTTCAACAATAAGCATTCACAATGCAATTTCTCTAAAGTTTAAATACTAAAAATGTCCTTTTCTCCTGCTGCAGCAGCTTTGTTAACCCTTTGCTGTCCAGCTGCATTGATCAACTTTTGTCTTCCAACTTAAAATTAAAAGTATGTCACATCGTAAAAATAGTCAAAATCAGAAAATATAGGAGTTAAAAGTTATTTTTAATTATTTTAGATCTTCCATGTTCAGTTGTTACAGTGTAATTGATCAAGAAGTACATTTCTGCTCCGTGCTGCGTGAAGGGTGAACCTTTTGATGTCCTGCTGTGCTTCTCTTGTCCTCCTGTCACTACTTCAGGTTTTTCCCTCATCGCTGGAACCGAACACCCGCGATAAACAAGGGACTACTGTACTTTCAGATTTACGAGAACATAAAATCTAAATTTGTTTCAGAATATGAAGTCTTGAACTGAAAAAGAAAAAGATTGAAAATATCAGAACTTAAAACATTCAGTTACAAAATGAACATTTAATTTTAAAATTAAGCAGTTTTAACCCTTTATCATCCAAAGTTTTTCAGTATTTTGGAGTCATTGAATATTTTTTCCAGCTGCTGGGCTTTTTGTTGATTAAATTTAAAGAACTGCTCCCATCAGAAGACTGTTACACAGACTAAATACTGTACATTAAATAAAATTGTTTCTGAGCAGCATGTTTAAAGAAACAGGTTGTGTTGTCTTCAGTTAGCGCAAGTTATTAAAAAAATAAAATGAGCGTTAAGTGTGATTCAAGCTGTGGTAAGAAAAAGATTAGCTGGGTTTTTTTTTGTTTTGTTTTTTTAATCTCATTTGTGTTAATCTGCTCTGGATGAGTAAATATGACCCCAACAGCAACAGACTGCATGAGTCCGATGAGTCCGCTCACCCTGACTGTGAAGTCCTCCACAGGATCTTGTTGATGGCTTTACAAGGAAATGGACCTGAAACACAAAAACTGTGACATTAACTAAAATGTGAAAAAATAAAACTATAGGATTGGCTCATTTAAAAGTATATTTTAGTCTAAGAGAGTGCATAAAATGTGAACTTAAAACATGCCACATCAATCATGGCTGATTATGCAGCCTTCAGTTAGCAGACTGTTTTTGAACAAGTCATCATTTTCTTCAGATCTTAACAACGTTCTTCTCAAGTAAACAAGCAGCAACACAAATGTGACGTTTGTGTGGTCATTTCTCACCATATGGGATGGCGGAGGACACTGGCTGGTGGCTGCAGGTGTTGCCGCTGGCAACAGCCCACACCGAATAGCCACCATCATTATGGGAACTGACGAAAAGGTTTCCAGAGCGTTCCCACACCAGACTCTCCAGCTGCTGCAGGAAGACGCACAGATAGTTCACTCAAACCATGTTAATTGTGATTACGATTCAACCATTCGCCAAGATAGGTACCTGCTTGCCGAGGAACAACTGGTCCACGTGGCGGGTGCCCAGATCCCACAGGACCACCAGACCTCGGCTGTAGCCAATCAGAATCTTCCCAGGCTGCTGAGGATGTTCTTGGAGAGACTCCACTGGTCCTAATGATTTTCCACATCTGTAGTCATCAGGCAGGCTGGAGAAAAACAACATCTCTAGCTTTTTCCATAAAGAAATCATTTATACAACAAAATGTTACGATTTTTAAGATTACAGTAGTCCCTCGCTACTTCGTGGTTTCTTTTATTGCAAATTCATTCTATCGCGGTTTTTCAAACTCCATCTGATTGATGGATGAGCCGCACAATTAGCATGGAATTTTTATTTAAAATAAATTATTTTAAATTATTTAGCACCTGCAGCACCTCTGTGCAGCCCACACTGCAGGATAAACTTCCTGCTGCAGCTGATCAGCGTGCAGAGCGGAGAAGTGGGCGTGGCCAAGAGCGCTTGCTGGTAGCACAGAGCAGAGGAGGCAGGGAGCTGAAATCACAACATTCTGTGCTCTTTTAGAGCGTTTAGAAACATTGTTTAGAATATTGCAAGAGTATGGGATGGGTTTAAAACGCCTTATTCAATTCAATTCAAAAATACTTTATTAATCTCAAAGGGAAATTATTTGTTGTTGTAACTCATTATCCTCATTTCATTAAGAGATGTTATAGATACTGATGGCTGTAGGCAGGAAGGATATATCTATCCACGTGCGTACCATTACGGTTATTTTTTCACTCATTAAATTTTATTAACGAGAGATTATGCGCCGCGGAACTAAAGTTCCCAAGCGTGTTTCAGCACGGCACTATTAATTGTTGCATAGAGTTGCAGCACACGTAGCATTAGCAGCCTAGCATCTTGTTGCCTGTTTGGGAACATTATGGCTTTGTTGTTAAAAGACCAACGCAAATCCAAAGCTGTGCGTCAACGACGTTTCATGGAGAGTGCATCTGCAGCAGCAACACATCTAACTTGTTAACGCACTTAAAACGACATCATCCGAACGTGAACGTCTCTTAAAGGAAGAAACGCAGCTTGGTTGACGTAAACATCGATAACAGCAGCATTTAAACAACCTTTATCAGGTAATTCAGATCGGTCCAAAGCAATAAGATGCAGGAGTTTTTAAAACTATGGATCCATGTCCGTATTCTGTTGCTGATGCACTGGCTTTAAACATATGATTAAAGTTCTTGAGCCCCGCTGCCTACAACATCCCATCACATCAACTCTTCAGCCAAAAAGTTGTACCAGCACTTTATGAAAAAGCTGAAACTGATAATCAACAAGCCCTGGACCCGATTTAAAGCCCTGCCCTGATGATGATGATGAGAAAGAGATTCAACCACCTCATAACAGAAATGATGAAGAAGAGGTAATGTTATTGTATTATTGTGATCGAATTAACATTATAAATGTAAAATTATAATCTTATTAACTAAACTTTTTTTACCTTTATGTTTGCAGTCTGAGGATGTCACAGAGCTGAGCAGCTGAGTCTTCTTCCTCTTCAGGGAAATTATTTATTCATTTTTATACAACCATGTTTTTTTACTTGGCATATTTTCAAAATAAACATTTTGTAAGTCGTTATTTTGGACTTTTTGTACCGAAAATTAACCGAACCGAGCCCTCCTTGAACCTGAACCAAACCGAAATGTGATTTTAGCGTACAGTTACACCCCTACTACTTGTACTACTATTCCTACTTCACAGTTTTTCCACTTATTGCGGGTCTTCAGGGTACGGATCCCCCACAACGAGGGACTACTGTATTTTTGAGTCTCCAACAGCAAAATCAAAATATATTTTAAGAAAAAAAAAAGGAAAAAAAAAATCAGGGTAACAACTTAATTGTACTGTATGAATGTCACTCAGGAAATTATAAATTAGTTATTCCAAGTAAAAAATAAAAAGTGAGGTAATTATCTACAATAAAGTCATAAGATAAAAAAGAACCCAGAAGAAAACTGCTTTGAACACCAGCATTCCATGTTTCTGATGACAAGTGGGACAGCTGCTGATTAAAACAAACATTAAAATTTTCAACATTAACCTTTGTAGACGGACAATGAGCAGCGAGTTCAAAGTAAAGTACCTAATCATGACAAGTTTGGAGAGTACAACACACCAACAACGCAACAGAGATCACAGAAAGAAATCTTTAGAAGGTAATCACAGAACATGAACCGTTTCCTTCTTAAAGAAAACCACCAAAAGAAAAAATTAAACCATGCACATCATCAACGCAGAGCACAAACCATCCATAAGAGATAAGACGCAAGCTGTTTTTTCCCCAAGAATAGCAAGTCAACATCACACTGGAGCCAAATTTCAGAGTTTGTGGACTAAACATTCTTCTGAGGCAGCAGAGGAATGCAGGACAGGACACACCCTGGAGATGTCAAAGGATTCCTTCAGCCAGGGAAGAAGATAGAAGAATGAGCATCAAAACAGACGGAGAGGGCGAGGACAGCAAACCACTGCAAGTTTCTGGACTCTTTAGCATCCTCACACGCCGATCCAACAAAACATCAGATGGTGGTGGAGTTCACCGAGGAGGATCATCTCCGGAAGCAAAGAGGCTGAAACATTCCTAACAAAGCAGGCCATTGTCTCCGCCTGTCTGCTCCCGAGTATTTTTAGGGAATCCAGCATCCTGTTGTAGAGTCCTGGTGATGGGCCGTGTGTGTGTATGTGTGTGCTCCTCTGCACACTGCATATTCAGCTGATGCACGTTCCGAACCGGAACACAGCGTTTTGGCAGCTGGTACAAAGCTTCACTGTCTGAAACCCTATCCTCCCTTACACACACACACCTTATCAGAACCTTCATTAAGCCTCAGTTCTGTTCACTTTCCAGAGAACATCTCCTTAATTAGAGACGGCTACAACCCAAAGGAGGAACAGACTAGCTTCTGGTGCTTTTAGAGAAGAATTTGTGCATGACTTCATAAAATGTTCTTGTGTTTGGGCTGGTATTTCACGTCTCCTGACACGGTTTTATCTCATTCTATTCTAGTTCACTACTGAGCTGAGTGCACGGCACAGTCAGTTAATTTCATCATACGGATGGTACAAGAGTTCATTGATTATTTGTTGTTACCAGGTAATAAAATCCAACTGTGTGAATGTTGCCAAAACATTCTCACTATTGAGTTTTTTTTTTCTGTACGTTTTTCAGCAGACAATTTGTTCTACCATTTTTGTGATATTTCAATAATTCATACATCAAAACAAAAAGAAGAGACTCAGTCATCCAGGTAAATAAATCAAAAAATTAAATCATGTAAAAAAAAAAAAAACTGACTCCGGTATAATTGTTGAAAATACTGTGATATAAGCACTAAAATTAATACAGCAGTGCTTTCTTTAATGTATGTCACTGCCTCACCTCTGTGTGATCGAATCCTGGAGCAGCGTCTGGTTCTCCTTTAGAGAGAGGCGGGGCAATTGCAGAAAATAAACACCTCCTCCTTCTGTTCCGACGCACAGCAGGTCACATGACTTTAACAAGAGGAGGACCGTCACCCTCGTAGCACTTTGAAACAAACAAAATAAATAATAATACCGGGGGGGGGGGGGGGGGGGTAAAAACAACAAATTTAGTCTCAGTACAGGTGTTTTGAGGTCTAAACAGTCATGTTTACAGACTGACTCATTAGTGCAAAGAAGTGAAGAACAGAGTCTTAAAGAATTTCACAATTTCACAAAAAAACAAACAAACAAAAAAAAAAAATAATAAAATAAGCTAAGACAGGTACCTGCAGCTTTCAATCCCAGGTCTTCCTGGGAGGCTGTAGCTGTCTACGTGTTTAAGAGAGACCACACCCTCTTTTTTAGCCCCTCCCACCACTCTTGAGGGTCCTGCGACCAGCTCCCACAGATGAATGGAGTTATCATCCAGCAGTGACAGAAAACGACCCTGCAAGCAAAGCCACAAATCGCACAACACATTTTTATAAATAAGTATCAATTTTGAAAAGCTCCAAGGGGAAGTCAGTTTTTTTTTTTTTTTTTACTTTCATGTCAGACATACTCACCTGACCAGGCAGGAAGTGGATCTGTGTGACAGCTGTGGCGTCTTTGTGTACTCCTGTGAACTCCACACCAGGGGCGCCATAGCTGAAAGGACTCAGTCAAGGAAATCCACAGCTCAGAAAATATTTGGGAATTTTTGCAATTACTGGAAAGGAAGCTTCTTCAAACCAAGACTGAGCTTGTCCCTTTTCACTACCAGGAAGATAGTGACAACTTAACTTAAAAGAAACCAGAATGCATCTTTAAAGGTCGAGTGGGCAAACCCTTTCAAATCTGATCTATAAGATCAAAGAAGAAAATTACCTCAGCAACATCATATCAGGAACTTTCAAACAGCTTCAATCAACACAGTCAGGGATTATAGTCCAGATTATTAACTAAATAGGCTAATGACCATCTCTCTCATTTACAGGTTAAAGCAGTGACTGGCTTCAAATCGGGTGAACAGCCAAACTCTGCTACCAAGGTGAGGTTCTGAAAGACAGTTTCATGTCAGAGGTCAAACATTGTGATGAGGCCGATCACGACTACAAAACACAAGGTACATCAAAACGGTCTCATCAGGTAAAGATTTTAAAGTAGACTCAGGGTTCAAGATGAGTTTTCCAAATCCTTTCAAAGAAACACAAAACGGTGGTGGGCAAGATGAAAGACCGACATGTCAGGTTTACTATAATTTCAAAACCAGAACGTGTCCAGAAGTGCCATGAGCTCAGACCGGGCTGAAACCTCTGACATGAAGATCAAATCAACTATTACACATCTCTGTACACAACTACTCACATGAACATGTAGCGTTTATGAAGTGAGATGGAGGAAGAAGGGTGATGCTTTCTCCACTCTACTCCACTACAGTTGTTTATTTCTTGTTAAAGCAGGGCACCAGCTAGTCAGTTTATTGACAAACAACTTAATATATTCACCCTTTAATAATCAGAAATCTGTGATTGAAGTAGAATCTGTTAATTACAGGGAGTACCATAGCATATGAATGAATATTAATCTGAATGAAGAGACCAAAGTTGTCTTTGAAATTTCATTACAAAAATAATCAAACTAAGAATCAACAACAATAATAAACTATTAACCAATCAAGGCTTAATTCTCTTATCTAGGGCTAAATTAACTCTGAGTAGGAATTATTTTTGGTTTTTATATGCGAATGAATTTAGACAAGAGCTTGACTACTATATTTTAATAAATAGTTTACTTTGGATTTTGGTTGAAAGAAGTTATTTAATGTGATCAGATAAGTCATTTATTATCACTGCAAGCCAGGAAATGATTTACCAAGTTGCATCAGCTAAAAATGGCATAACCAAAGCAAGAGTTGCATCATGTCACCAGGTTCTGCTCCTTACCGGGTCAGTGTTGAGGGCACCACGTCATTCATCTTTCTGGGTTTCTGCTGGTGGATCGGACCAGGATAGACCACGAGGAGGACTTATCAGGAACTGCCCAAGGTAGCCTAACATCACTGTGACTGCTTCATTGGTCTGTGAGGGCCACAGCTGATGAGAAGGTCCCATCCATGACAACCTTCAACAGGCTTAGACTTCAAGCCAGGAACGTATGTCTTGCAGTGTGAAAAATGCCTCATCTTCTTTAGTTATTTAAACTTCTAATTTTTTCTAACAAATGAGCAACATGTTTATCTGCTCAGGACTAAACGAGTGGACCTCAGGACGACCACCAGGATCAGGTCCAAAAATGAACTGGTCAGGTTCAGGAGTCTAAGAAGAACTGCTTTTATCACACAAAGACTTTGTGTAAAAACAACAGCTCTCAGATGATTTGACTACTCAGGAACATCATGACTCCACCTCTGAAGCAAACAGCTCCATCTCAAAGAACACTTACAACAGGTGTCTCTGCAAGGAAAAGCTAGCTTTTGAAAAACAAAGAAATATGTTAAACACATAATATTTCACGATTTCATTATAATGACTGAAAACAATAATTAAAATTATTCATGTTCACACTTGTTATAATAAAATAAAAAACTTCATGATTTGTTTTTCTTTCTTAAAACGCATAGAAAAAACAAAGGTAAACATTAGTCAGACCGTAGCCGACTCTGTGTCTAAGGACGGTGAATGTGTGAAGAACACCAGACACTACTGAAGTCAAAAGAACAGAATTCATGGAGAGCCTGGAAGTCAACCCAAGGGTCAGGGTCATGGTTAGAGGAGTGCAGCTTCATGTTACAAACATAAGGACTGAGGTGCAGAGAAGCATCAGGTTGAACTGATGAGTTCAAATCTAAAATACGTTTGTGTAGCAGGTCATTTGTTCACTGAATGACAGTACTATAATGGTTTCATTGCAAAGAAATACAAACGCACACAAACGGCTAAACAAATTATATCGCAGAACGAGCCATCCCCCCCATAAGACAAAACTAAAAATAGAAAAACAACAGCTATGTGTTCTAACTCTACGCTGGAGACCAAAAACATACCATGTTTATGTGTAACAATGTGGGAGCTCAGAGCAGTTACCAACGCCAGATGACGCAGATGCTTAAAACCACCACTTTGTGTGTGAGCGAGTGTGTAATTAACCACAGTCTTCACAGTTCTCTTGTTCTTAGCCTGGTAAATGAAGCGGAGTTGACGAAATAAAGACCATCATCTTCAACAGTGACAACATGTAGACAACTGTGCTAAACTGGGCAACTTTGCAAACTAATACACCCACATCAAGCACTTAAAGACGTGTGTGAGCAGCAGCTACGCACCAACACACAACGTACATAAGGTTGTAAGAATGTGGATTAAATTGTGGAGGACTAAAATAAAATTTGGATTTTTTTTTTTGTGTTTGTGTTTAAGAATGAGCTGATTTTATGCAGCCCTGCTACCAATTTTAGGCATTTCACTGCATCTTAATATATAATATCTTAAATACTAATGTTTTAATTTACTGCTGATCCCAGCAGATCCCAGTTCCACAACCATTTTCCACTTCTTCTCTCCGTTATGCATTACCCATAAACCGCGAGGCTTTATACTCAAGTATTTTAACCCTTTCTTCCCCCTGCTTCAGTGGTAATCAACAAACCTCAACTTCTATCCCAGATTCTAATCTTTTTCTTAGTAACCCTAAAGTTTACACCACATCTTGACAGTGATTGTGAGATGGTGGGAAGGTTTGCAACCTTTTCTTTTCCCAGAATAAATCTCTCCAACGCCGTGCTGATCCCAGAGAGGCCAAGCCGAGTGTTATACTAGCATTCCTGAGTGTTGTCACTTCCTGGCCCTGCGCTTTAATTCACTACAACAACACATGCCTCAGACAGCTGAAGAGTGGTAAGATGAACACTGGTTCACTGGTCATGCACTGCCACTCCAGTTAAAACGCCAAAAACATTTAAAGAATATTACTGTGCAAACACAGTAAACATTTTTTTAACCCAAAGAAATATTTCTATATGTTGGGGTAAAACATTGCATCTAAAAAAATTAATAAATAACAACCAAGAAATAACCGTAAAAACTAAATTTATTCCCAGGAAAAGCTCATTAATTAATCCCTTACAATTATCTTATTGCCTATGAACAAAAAATAGACTTCTGCAACAAACTGAGCTGACAGAGAAATTTAAAATTTTTGTATAAATGACGGGAAAGTGGATCAAATCTGAGTTGCATTATAAAGATCTGCAGAGCAGAAAACAGATGTGCTGCTGTGGTTTATGAGTGTCTCTCTCTAATGGCATGATGACCCCAACCCATTCATTACAGATCTAAACTGCATCCCCCACCAAAAAAAGTTGTCAGTGCATGAAGGGGAACAAATACCACAAATAACCATTTAAGATCATATCACAGCTTACCCAACTGCGGTAGCTCTGACAGGAACCGAGCTGCTAGCATCTCCAATTTTAAACAGTCAGTCCAAATAAACGGGTTTGACAGTCAGAAAGACAGTGGAAAAGATGACATTTAAAAAACTGCCTGTGAAGAAAACCTTAAAATGTGGCACACAATTCACAGAGCTGACACACGCACACACACACACACACACACACACACACACACACACACACACACAC